CCCAGCTCGCATGCTCCGCGGCCCGGCGCCTAGAGCGTCCTCCTCTGCGGAGCCTCGTGTGACCTTCCAGCCCGCGCCCCGATGCTGCCGGCGGCCGCTCGCCCCCTCTGGGGGCCGTGTCTCGGACTCCGAGGAGCCGCGCTCCGCCTCGCCAGGTACCGCGGGCCGCACGTGGTCATTGGGGCGCCGGAGCACCGATGGCCGAGCCAGCGGGAGGGGGAAGGCGGCACGAGGCCAGGGCCAGGGCAGCCGGGCACCGAGGGGCGCAGGACCCGGCGAGGCGGACGGTCATCCCTGCAGGTGTCCGAAGCCGGTCCCCGACGCGGCTCTCGGGGGCGTGGGGCCATGGCTTCCGACGCACGCCTACCCTTCCCCGCACGGGTGGCCGAGACGGCGGGGCGCGAGGCTCCTGTGACCTTGGCCGAGTCCCTGCCGGTCTCCGGGCCTCGGTTTCCTCTCCGGACCGGGCGTTGTGCAGCCGGAGCCCCACGTTTGGAACGTCCTTGCGGCAACGTGCATTTCAAGCATCGGTTTCTCCACTGGGTTGGTGGCACTTCGTTCAAGGCGGTAGCTGCTTCTTAGTGATTGCCGAAAAGATCGCGGGTTTCTAGAGATTTTTGAAAGGTTTAGAAGGGCAGGAGTTCAAAACCACCGTACGCTGCTCGGCAGAGCGATGTGGCTGCCGCCCGGAAGCCCCACGGGGCGGTCCCGCCCCGCTCTAGAGGACTGGAGAGCAGCGGCTGTAGTTTGAGGTGTTTGGGGCGCGTTTACAATCACTTAGAAAATCCTTCGTTATGGGTGTCCCACTCCCAAAGTCAGCATTCCCGCTCAGCAGCCCTCGGCCGCTTCCTGCCCCCGGCCTGACCTGGCTCCATGTGGGTGGGGGTCTAGGCAACAGGTGCCCACCGTCTGCGTCTTGAGGCTCGTGAGGACCAGCAGCCATCGCAGGGCCGAGGCACTGGCCAGCGCCCCCCTGGATAACGCCCCCAAAGAGTACCCACCGAAGATCCAGCAGCTAGTCCAGGACATTGCCAGCCTCACCCTCCTGGAGATCTCTGACCTCAACGAGCTGCTGAAGGTAGTGGACGCCCAGACCAGCCGGCCTCCAGCTCCTTCACTCTGTGTGCGCGTGGCTGGTCGCTGACCCTGCTCCACTCTGTCCTACAGAAGACGCTCAAGATCCAAGATGTTGGCCTTGTGCCCTCCGGCGTGATGCCAGGAGCTGCCCCTGCCGCTGTCCCCACCACTGCTTCCGAGGTGAGCCTTGCTTCATACTCTGTCACCAAGTTTAGTGTCATCCCTAAGCTCTGGTTGTGCAGCCACCTTTAGTTTGTGTGAGATCTGTGTGATCCCCCACTCAGGGTACCCTCCTGCCCAGTTGGTTTCAGTGTCAGGGAGACCAACAGCCAGGAAGCTGAAAGGAACATAAAAGTGAAAAGCCCTGAGTGCCCATGTTAACAGATGATAGTAGGTGGAGGAACCTGGGGGAAGGGCAGTTTCCAAGGACTCCAGGGCTGGGTGCCCTCTGGGCACAGGACTCCCCCAGGGCTGGAGAAGGGTGTCCTGCAGCTAGGGATTGCAGCGGCCAGCCAGCCCGAGACCTCGCCTCATGTGTTTTACTGAGCTGGTGGTTTATGGGAGGGGTCTGGTTTTTTCTTGAAAACTAACATTTGCTTGAAAATAGGTAAGCGTAATTGATTACATCCCTGAGCCCAGTGATACCTGTTAAAGTGCTTCCACCGGGCCGGGCCTGAGCTCCAGACCTTTGTGGACTTGCATGCACGACCCTGAACACTTAGCTGAGAGGGACAGCGGTCAGCCTGCCCACTTGTTACCTGTGCTGCGAGTCTCATCTGGAAGAGGCTGATTCTTCCACGAGAGAAGATTCTCTTCTCCCTCCCCACCCCCAGCCCTGCCTTAAGTTGGGCCGCGATGTTTGGAGAAGAGGCGGGTAGCTACCAGGCTTGTCTGTTCATATCACCAGCAACAGGGCCAAGCTGAGACTGTCCCAGGCACTCAGGATGTGGCCCAGTCAGTGGCTGTCCTAAGGGACAGTGGAGTGGTCTGCTCAGGAACAGACTGCAGCTGCAAGACCCCCAGGTGGTGGGGTCAGGGATTGGGGGCAAGGAGAATGGGTGCAGACCACGCGAGGTTCTGCCTGTGGGGTGGGTCCCCAGGGAGGAAGGTGCCCCACCTCACCCCTGCATTCCCTTCCCCAGGAGGTGGAAGAAGATGTTCCCAAGAAGAAAGAGCAGACACATTTCACCGTCCGCCTGACTGAGGCCCAGCCTGTGGACAAGGTGAAGCTCATCAAGGAGATCAAGAACTACGTCCAGGGCATCAACCTGGTCCAGGTGAGGCTGCCAGCCCAGGCCCCTGTCCAGGGTGGGCGCTGGGGCAGCCCCCAGTACCTGACGTCTCCTCTCCACAGGCAAAGAAGCTGGTGGAGTCATTACCCCAGGAGATCAAAGCCAATGTGGCCAAGGCTGAGGCAGAGAAGATCAAGGAGGCACTGGAGGCAGTGGGGGGCACTGTGGTGCTGGAGTAGCCACGGCCGAGGCTGGAGGGCCCAGGCCCTGTGAACTCCCCCGGTGCCTGGCGAGGCCGGGTACCTGGAGTCACAGGAGGGCTCCTGGCGCCGGAGGCCGTCCAGCCTCTGCTTGGAAAGGAGGTGTGGACCTGCGGGCAGGGCACTGCGCCCAGTGGGGCGGTAGGGAAATGGACTGGAAGTGGGTTCCCACGGGGCTCTTCTGGCCGTTGGGAAATACAGTGTGGAGACCTAGCGTGTGAAGACTGTGTCTGGGCCATGGCCCACCGGACGAAGGGTCTGCAAGCGTTGGGGGTCCCAGGTGTAGCTTGCAGGCCTGGGGGGCTCTGGATGGGTTTCCCTGCCGACCCTTCGTGGCCATCCCCTTGAGTACGGGTGCCAGGGCTGGAGCTCGATGCAACTGCAGTCGCGATTTTTACAAGTGGAAACTATTAAGTGCCTGTTCCCGTACCAGTGGGGTGCATGTACCCCAAGTGTTGGGGGCATACACTCTGAATGTGGTGGGAGTGAGGACTGGTGGAGGGGAAATGAGAGTCTGAACTTGAAGGAGAGTGGGGTGTGTACCTCCCAGTGGGAGCAGAGGAAGCCTTTCAAAAGACAGATCTTGAGGCCTCTTAGAGAGGGACCAGGAAGGGTCACTGGACGCAGTGGGCCGGGCCATGATCCAACCGGACTCACTGGATGGGCAGGCTTCCTGCAGGGCCTGGCTCCCTACCTCTACCAAGGTCTCCCACAGCCGCACAGTACCCTGCCTATCTGACGAGGGTCCCCCCACAGCCACACACAGGGCACTGGAACCTCTGGTCCTCAGCAGCTACTTCACACCCTGGGGTCCAGCTGCAGGAGGGGTTCATGATCACCCTGCCCTGCTTCCTTGGGAGACGCCACGTCTGAGTCCAGGTGGCCTCTTCATGACATGAGAGCCAGGGGTCATCCATTAAGAGGATGTCGGAGGTTACCCTCCTTTGGATTCAGGACCCACCCAGTGCAGATGCTGGCCTGGCCTCTGCTGTCCAGCATCACCAGGCTCATTTCTGGAGTTCTGTCCACAGCTCTAACTGGGTCGTTTGTCCAGGACAGGAACAGGACATACCCTTTCCTCCTTGGATGGAAGCTGGACCACCAGCACCAAGACCCTCTTCCAGAGGGTCACACACTCCCAGGGGCCACAGTAGCCGCTGTGGTAAAGAACCACTAAGGAATCCTTGTCCTAGTGGGACTCCGCCAGAAGAGAAGCGGGCAGCAGACGGACCTCAGGCCTGGCCCTGGTGCGTACACAAGCACCTGAGCCTCCAACCCTCTGTAGCTGCCACATGTTGGGGTCCGGCCAGAGCTCATGATCCCCTGACAGGACAGGACGGACAAGCCACACCTGGAGGACAGGACAGGTTTTCTCGGCCCGTTGGGTGCCCACCTTTCCTGTGTCTGCGCTGTCTGTTTTTTAACAGCTGTGGGGCTTCTCTAATGTGCCCCTTAACCTCCATGGCCACCTCCCCACTGTCTGGGAGAAGCACCCCCCCTGACCTACTGAGGGGCTCCTGTTATGGAAGCCAGCCTTCTCCCCCCAGCCCAGACCTGGAGTGGGTGACCCCATTTAAGGCCAGCCTCCACAAGTGACCAGTACCCCCTTGGCCTTTGTGGGGACCATGGCTGACCTGCTGAAGCTGAGTTTGCTGAGAAGGGACCCAGAACCATGTTTTATCATGTGCTGCCTCTGCAGACCCCAAGCCCCACAGTGCCCACCCTGAACAGCTTTGGGGACTCGCCTGGTATAGCTGGGTGCTGGAGCAGCAAACATACCCACTTCCTAACTGGCTGAGAAGCTGAATTCGTGCCAGGGCGGGAGAGGTCGGGAGACTAGGACACCTCATGCTGGGGGGATGGGTCCACCCAGGAGTAGCCCACCACGTAAGGCCTGGCTCCCACGGTCACAGCAGGCCTGCTGACAAGGGATGGCCCCTGGCTGGTTGCAGGGGGATGTAGCCTCCACACTGCCTCCCGGTTCGAGCCTCCTTTCATTGTCTGCAGCGAGTCGCACACAAACAGCCTCTGGCAAGGGCCAGCTGCAACGGCAGACGCGTGGACACCCGTCTCCAGGCCGCGTGTCCCGGTTCTGGGCTGGGCTGGACTGCGTGTGCCACCGGCCAGGTCCTGCGCGGAGGTGCGGACAGTTCTGGGTGCAAGTTCAGGCCGATCGGAGGGCGAGACTGGCGAGGTGCCCCAGGCGTGGACATGGCTCCAGACCTGCGCCGGCTGAGGAAAGGGACTGCAGGTTCCCGGGGAGCCCACTGCAGTCCTTGGGGTCCCGGTGGACAGGCGGGGCCCACCTAGCTCGGCTCCTGACCGCGGCCGCCTTAAGGAGCAGGGCCCGTCCAGCTCCGGGGCGGAGCCTCTGGCCGCCCCGCCTCCCGGGCCGCGCGGGCGCATTGGCTGCGCTTTGAACGCGGCGTGGAGCGAGCGGCGGGCGCAGAGCTGGGAGCCGCGCACCGGGGTGCAGAGCAGCCGGCGCCGCGCATACCCAGCCCCGCGCGCACCGAGCCCCGCGCGCACCGAGCCCCCGGCGCCAGGCCGGCGCCCGCCGCGTGGGGATGGCCGCCGAGGCGCGCGTGTCGCGCTGGTACTTCGGGGGGCTGGCTTCCTGCGGGGCCGCCTGCTGCACGCACCCGCTGGACCTGCTCAAGGTGAGGCTCCCTGCCTGCGGCCCTGCGCCCGGGCTCCGGGCAGCGGGAACCGGGGCGCCTCCTGCGGCCGCAGCCCTGCCCGCCCGGGAGGGCCGCACCCGGCGATTAAAGTGCGGTCGGGGACGCCCACGCTGCCCTCCACTGACCGGCCTCCCGGCCCCGCGCCCGGGGACATGAGACCTTCCGCTCAGCCGCCGCCTAGACATACATCAGGCCACCGCAGGGAAGGGGCGGGGAGAAGTTCGGGGTGCAGAGAGGCCAGGCCCAGGGCCGAGTTACCCCTGCAGCAGGCACCTGGGTCCACGAGCTGGAAGGGACAGTCCCCTTCCCCAGCTTGCCCAGCCCCAGGTGTGCCCAGTACCTGTGACGCTCGGCAGCTCTAGGATCTGCGAGCTCTTTCTCTGGATTGGACGCTGACAGGTGTGGGCACCTGTACCCAGTGGGGAAGTGGACGGAGAGGAGAGAAGGCTGAAGTGGGCGGTGGTGGCCCTGGCAGGGACATTAGCACTGGACCGGCTGGGCCAGGAGAACAGGGATTTCTTAAGAGTGGAATTGACATTTTTTCGTGTTAAGAAGAACCGCTGATGTGACAAATAAGACAGAAGCCCACTGTCTCCCAGGCCAGGGAGGCGCTTCCTGCCCACAAAGAACAGAGAAGCCTGGCCTTAGAAACCCCGCAGTCTGCAGGGAGTCCCTGCCCTTTCATCCTGGGCAGTAGAGGGGCAGCCGACCTCTGTCCCCTGCTCACCCCCAGCGGGCCACCAGCCCCAGGGCACTTCCTGTGAACACTGCCTGACCTGGAACTGACCCAGGCCCAGCCCTGCCTCAGGGCCTTTATCCTCAGGAAGGCTGAATGGTTTGAAAGGTCAGAAGTTCAAGTCTGCGGAATGTACCCTGATGGTCAAATTCTAGTGAGTCAGAGACTGTGGGGCACCTCTCTGACCCACCAGGGCCTCACAAGTCCGAGGCTGAATCATGTTTCCACGAGGGGAAAGGTTTTACTAAAACAACCAGCAGCAGCTCCTTTACTGTGGGCTCCAGTCCGCACGGTGTTTATTGCCGCCAGCTGCCTGGGGAGGCAAGGCATTGCAGACATGAGCCGGAGCCACGCTGGCGGCCCTCCCTGCACCTGAGACCTATCTCTTAATAGCAGAGGGTCAAGGAGGAGGGACAGCTCCGCTGTGGGAGAGAGGAGCCTGTCTGGAGGACTTTTCTCACTTCCTGGGTGCCTCGAGTCCACCCCCAGGCCCAGGAACCTCTGCCATGGTGGTGGGGCACGCTGCGGACGTCATGCTCACAGACTGTGACCTGGACTCCTGTCCATTGTCCAAGGCCCCACCAGGCGTCACTGCCAGGCCCCAGCCCCTGCCCTGCTGCTGTTTCAGAGGGGGTCAGGGCCAGCTGCAGGTGCCCTGGTCAGGGCAGCAGGGCCTCTCCGGGACAAATTGTCCAAGACCCCTGTCTGTTCTGCCAGGTCCTGACTTGTTGCTGGGTGGTACTTGCATGATCTACCTGCAGGCCAGTGCCCACTGCATCCTGCCAAGTCCAAATCAGGAAGCCATGGTCCTGTGCTGCCCATTGCCTCAGTGGGCCTACACAGTGACCACGTGGACCACTGGTAGTTAATCTGGGGTCTAGAACAGGACATCTCCATTGCCCCCAGGGAAGAAGTGGGGTGATGGCGGAGACCCCAGTGAGCTCACTGATACTGTGCCCATTCCTGTGGGTTATGTCCACCTTCCTCCGGGCCAGGGTGGGGGCCAGGAGCTGAGAGCTTGGCTGGCTGGCGCCTGCTGACCTCTGGCCTCATGGCTTTTCCTTGCCTGGGTGACTGGAAATGGCGACAGTCCAGTGCGACCTGCTTGCACAGGGCTGGAGCATAGCGGCTAACACTCCACTGCCCAGCGGGCTGTGCCCCCAACAGACAACCCGGGTCCACCCCAGTCCCCTTGGCTCTGTCCCTCAACTCGTTCCCCCTCTCGAGAAAGGGTGGCCGTCAGGAAGGGGCCTAGGGTCATCCTTTGGGGATCACACAGTGTCACTTCTGACTCAGTCTTCTCTGTTGATGACAGGGGCAGCCCTCCCTGGGGTTGGAAGGTTTCAGAGGGAATCTGCCTCTATCCCCCCCAGATGCCACTTGTCACCATGGTCACACCTGAGGACAGAGGAGTCCCACTCCCAGGCCAGGCTCTAGGAACCTCAGTTCCCCATCTCTAAATGCATCTGGTCTTTGTGAGGTTTATACACAGTAGATTGCAGAAGACAGCTCCCCTGGTCTCTGTGCCAGCTGGCCATGGGCATCAGAGGCAGGGGTGAGGAGTGGTCGGAAATGGCGACACCCTGAGCAGCTCCCCCTTGCACGCAGGTGCACCTGCAGACGCAGCAGGAGGTGAAGCTGCGCATGACAGGCATGGCGCTGCGGGTGGTACGCACTGACGGCTTCCTTGCCCTCTACAACGGCCTGAGCGCCTCCCTCTGTAGACAGGTGCGCGCTGGGGCCAGGGCTCGCTCCAGGCAGGGCTGAGCTCAGCTCCGCAGGGGGCTCATTCAGCTGGGGGCTCTGAGCAGGGCGCCCCGCTGGATGTTCCAGGCAGAGGGCAGTGATCGGCTCTGCTGCGCATGTGCTCTGCTCAGGGCTTGGGGTTGGGTGATGCTCGGGGGGAATGGGGGGCCGTCAGCCAGGTTCAGGTTCAGGGTGGAGGGTTCAGGTGAGGATTTGAGGAAGAGATTCAAGCTCAGGGCAATAACTTGAGGTACAGGCCTTTGGTGTGGGGCTTGGGGTGCGGTGCTGCAGCTCCCTCCCACCTTGTGCAATGTCCTGTTTGAAAGCATGATGATGAGAAACATACCAGGGGCACTGGTTCTGGGTGTGGAGGGCGGAGGGCAGAGGTCCTCCACTGTCCTGACCTGGCACCCCACAGATGACCTACTCCCTGACACGCTTCGCCATCTACGAGACCATGCGTGACCGTCTGAGCAAGGGCAGCAAAGGGCCACTGCCTTTCTACAAGAAGGTGCTGCTGGGAGCCATTGGAGGTGAGCGGCCAGCAGGAGTCCTGGGGTGCAGGGACGTCCGCAGGCTGTGGGAGGCTCAAGGGGTGCCAGGCAGTGTCCCAGGCTGGCCTCAGGTGGCATCACATTGAACTTGTGGCTTGTGCCAACACAGGTTTCACGGGCGGCTTTGTGGGAACCCCCGCGGATATGGTCAATGTCAGGTCAGTGCCCAGGATCAGGGTCTCCTGCCCCTCAGCAGGGTGGACGTGTCCACTGTTTGGTCTCCTTGGAAACTGTCTGAACACCCACCCTGCAGACTTCGGACCCTGGCACCCTGGGGGTCACTCTGAGGCCAGCTAGTGGTCGGGGCACCTGGTGCCTTGTGCCTGGGGATCCTAGTAGGCTGTCTGTGGTCTGCACTCACCCCCCTGGTCCTGGGATCTTTTCCAGAATGCAGAATGACATGAAACTGCCTCTGAACCAGCGACGCAAGTGAGTACCGTGCCCCCCTGGGTGTGGTCAGCATCCTGGACCCCGTGTCCAGCAGGCAGCCTGGGGCCACACGGTGGCTGGGACTCTGCCTGGGACCCACACAGTGGGGATCACACAGCTCTTAGCAGTGAGGTTGTACCCTTTAGTCACTGGAGGAAGGGGGGCCTGGTCCCCTCCAGGACCCTCATGGGGGGGCCTTGTTGGGTAGACAGGGCCAGCAGACCTCCTCCCCTCTGTCCACCTGGGAGCAGGCAGGACAGGACCAGAGCTAGGACTGTCAGAGGTTGGTGGGTTGTGGGGGGCGAGCCCTCATCACCATTCTGTCCCCAGCTACGCCCACGCCCTGGATGGCCTGTACCGTGTGGCCCGTGAAGGTAAGAGGACCTGTTTTGGGGGGGACACCGGGGGCAGGGCAGGAGGTGTGTGGTTCACGCAGGGGAAGTGGTCCTATGGTTGGAGGCTCGAGGAGGCTGGAGACCCCAAGCCTCACTTCTGCCTTCTCCTTAGAGGGTCTCAGGAAGCTCTTCTCGGGTGGAACCATGGCCTCCAGCCGCGGGGCGCTTGTCACTGTGGGTCAGGTAGGGCCCCCATTCACGGATGCGGGGAGTGACCCACCGCTCCCACCCTTCCATGACCCTCCTCAGCCAGGGCGGGGGGAGCGCTGTGCCTTGTTAAGGCTCCTGGGGAGTCACATACAGGTGCTTTGTGCCCTGGGGAAGGCCAGGCTTCTGGTCAGTCTGCCCTTGGGCAGGCCCCCTACTCTGGGGCCAGTTTCTACCAGGTGGTCTGTGCAGGTGATGGGAGGAGGGTCAGTGCTGGGCAGGGTCCCCTCAGCTCCAGGCCTGACTGTCCCTCCTGTCCGCCCAGCTGTCTTGCTACGATCAGGCCAAGCAGCTGGTCCTCGGTACGGGCTACCTCGCTGACAACATCCTCACCCATTTTGTGGCCAGTTTCATAGCGGTGAGTGTCCAGTTCTGGGCCTGACCTGGCATGGGCCCTGGAAGACAGGGATTTGGGACCACCCATGTGGTTTGGACAGGGCTCTTCGGGTCACATGTCCTCAGGCTGGGGCTACACCTGGTGACATCATCAGGTCATTGGTGAGTAACTCCTCCCCCCGCAGGGTGGGTGTGCCACCTTCTTGTGCCAACCCCTGGATGTGCTCAAGACCCGCCTGATGAATGCCAAGGGCGAGTACCAGGTGAGTGGTTGAGGACCAGGAATGGCCAGGTGAGAACAAGGTGAATGGATGAGGACCAGGTGAGTGGACGCTCCCAGGCATCTTTGCACCCGGTCCCCTTTCCCCTGGGGAAGTAGCAGCCTTCCTGGCCTTTGCCTTGTTTTTAAATTGGATTTCTCTTACAAATTAACAGGGCAGTGAGTTCACAGTCTGGGATTCTCAGGGTAGGGTTAGCAGTCAGCAGTGAGGGCTCTCTGACCCCCAGGCTCTCTGACCCCCGGGCTCTGTGACCGGCCTCCCTCCAGGCCCTACCTGTGGTCCTGAGCCACACAATCCCACCTCCCATAGAGCTTTGATTTGGTGGGTGACTAGGGGTAACCTTCCTGCTCCCTCCAGGCCCCCTTCCTGCACCTCCCCCACAGCCCTCACCCTCCTGGGGTGGCCCAGTCCTGATCACATGATCACTGTCCACTCTGCAGGGCGTGCTGCACTGCGCCATGGAGACTGCCAAGCTGGGGCCTCTGGCTTTCTACAAGGTGGGCAGGGCCACGGGGCAAAGGGTGGGGGCAGCAAGCCTTCTACAAGGCTGGGAGTAGGGGCGCTGCCAGCTTTGAGCACAGTGAGCAGGGCCCCCCACTCACCCCATCTCTCCCCAGGGCCTCTTCCCCGACAGTGAACAGGGCCCCCCACTCACCCCATCTCTCCCCAGGGCCTCTTCCCTGCTGGCATCCGCCTGGTGCCCCACACTGTGCTCACCTTTGTCTTCCTGGAGCAGCTTCGCAAACATTTCGGCATCAAAGTGCCGGCCTGACCAACCTCGGGCCCCTTCCAGCCAAAGAGGCCGCACATACTGCCCTACACCCGCCTGGGACCACCCACCTCCACAGTGCGGGGCCCCCCCACCAGAGAGCCTGTGGGCCCTCCCTCCACTGCTGGAGGTTGGACCCCAACCACCTGCCCCCTTCCAGTGCACCTTCACTGTCCAGCCCCCAGTGTGTGAAGCTCCTCCCACCTGTCCCCCAGGTCCTGTTGGTCCACGGCCCTGGGTGGTCCATTCATTCCTCCCCCCAGCTTCTGCCTCTTCTCAGGCCTCTGGTTTGCTCTTTCACAGAGCATTCACTCTGGGTCCATGGCTCTGCAAGCTTCTAGCAGCTTCCCTGGGAAATTGGGGGCCAGAGTGGAAGTGTGCTGCCTGGGTGTGCACCTGCACTTTCTCATGGAAAGAACCGGGGCCTCTCCCAGTTCTGAGGAGCGAGAGGGCCTGGGGAAGAGTCCCTGCGCCAGGCATGCCCTCCGCCAGCCCAAGGAGGCTGTAAGGACGGTCTGCCGGAATCTCAGCTGCGGCAGGTGTCCCTGTGGTAAGGGATTGGCTCTTCTCAGGCCATGTCCTCCCTCCCAGTTCCTGGGGAGTGGGTCCCACATGTGAGCTTATGCTGGGGGATCTGGGGCCTTTCTGCGTGGAGAGCCTCACCTGGGTGGTCATTCGACCACATGCCACCTCCTGAGTCCAGCTTGTTGAGGTGCCTTGCCCTGTGACCCCACTGGGGAGAGTCCATGGCTCCCAAGAGTGCTGTCCACATGGCTTTGTGCGGGGAATACCATTAAAGACAATGAGAAACCTTTCTTGACTGTCCCTTCATACCCTGTTATAAGACACCTCACCAGCCTGCAGGCTGCCCTGGTGCCATGTCCCCCGGGGGCTTCCTGTCCCCCAGCTGGATGAGAGCTCTCTAGTAGCGCTCAACTCAGCGGCGATACCTGGTGGTTGTGCAAACTCAGAGGTTATCTTTGAACTGTGGAGGGTGGGGGACAGTGGCAGACAGATGGAAGTGGATAGACACAGACCCTCACGGTGGCCAGAGTAAGGCCTGCACTGCCAGGGGTGAGTCCAGGGCCCGGCCCCTTCTGCCATGCACCTGGCAGTGTCCACCTGGGACACAGCATGTGCCACGAAGCCCTGTACCTGGGAAGATAGTACCCTGCAGTTCCTTCTGACTCAAGACCCTCCAGAGTGGCCCTCAGTGGCTCCCGTGTCACAGGAGATGGCCAGGCCACCTTCCACCATGTGGCTAGGCAGTTTCAACCACTGCATCAGCAGTCAGGTGCAAATCAGGTTTCCTTCCTAAGAACTGTACACACACACAGACACATACGCTCCCCCTCCCTCCCACAAGCAAATGCTAGACATTAAATGGCTGGCCCTGATCTCAGAATACAGATCAAGTGGGGTCCCGTCCAGCACAGCCACTGCTGGGCCTGGTTTCTCCCCGTGCGCTTTAGGCCTGGAGCGTGTGGTGTCTTTTCCATGTGAACAGTCTAGCTAGCCCCACCAAGGGTCAGCAAGGTCCAGAGAACCTTCCAAGTCTACCATCTTGAGAAGGGTGTCTTAGCCCAGGGACCAAGCTGGAGCCATGTCCCACGAGACAGGCAGAAATGTGGCCTGGTCGTCGACGTGGGGTGGTGGTGAAAAGGAGGGACCCTTGCCCAGAGTTGCAGCAAAGAAAGTGCCCAGGTTGGTATGGTAGACACAGGCCTGGCCTGGGCCCCAGGTGGGACAAGGTGCAGGATGGGGGAGGGGATACTAAGACATGTGATTGTATAATTTCAAAACAAAGACAAGCGTGTGAAGACAAGCTGTGGGCAAAGTCCCCATCCCCCACGCTGCCTCAGCTGCCTGGCACGGGAGCAGAGGGACAAAGGTGATAGGGCGGGCCGGAGGGGGAGGGGCAGCGGGAGAGGTGGGGGGCAGCCCTCTCTCCTCCCACTTCCTTCTTGCTCCCCTCCCTCTGGGGTCAGAATTCCTTTTAAAGATTTTGAGGATTTGGGCCTGGCCAATGAGCTGGAGAGGCAGTTGCAGACCTCGGGTGGGGAGGGGGGCTCGCTGTCCCCTCTGGAAGCAGGTTGCCGCGTTTCCTGCAGAGTCACTTCATTCTCAGCCATCACTGTAACCACTGTCCCAGCCCCCGGTGTGCAGTCCTCGGTCTCGCTGCTCCCACAGATCGGGAATCAGGGACATGAGTAACAAGCAGCCAGCACCTGGACACCTGGACCCTGGCGTGGCTGGACCCTGGCGTGGCTGGACCCTGGCGTGGCTGGACCCTGGCGTGGCTGGACCCTGGCGTGGCTGG